ATCGCACACCCCTAGTTTGACAAATAAATCTTTTGACTGCACATCTCTTTCACCATATCTCTGCAGTTTGCAGCTAAATTGAGAAACTGCAGAAAAACCCAATCGCTTCTCCTCTCCCTATCATCAGCAAGGTGTCACGGCAAGAGCGTGGCATCCATCAAACCCCAGCAATACACTTTGTCCATTTAGCAGTGAGACTAGCTCTGACACTGCCCCGCAGCCCGTCAGGCTATTTATAGCACGCTCAGGGCTGCCTCGATCCCATTGGCTAGAAACCTCACTGTGGCACCAAAGCAAAGCCGGAGGTCTGCTGAGCTCACATGCTCCCAGTGTATCCCAAGGACAGAGTTCCCACAGCGACTGCAGTCACCCATTGCCCATCAAGCCTCACAATGACAGCTCAGTCTGGAGGCCAATGACAGCAGCGCTGCCTCAGGAAACCACAGACACGACAGATCGCACTCGCCAACAAATATTCAATATCCAAACAAACTCTATTCCTCACAATCCGCACAAAGAAATGGAAAATCGAAGACAGAAGCGTGGGAAGCCTTGAAGGAAGGGAGGAACGGAGACGAGAACCGCAGCATCGTGAGCTCTTCAAAGGAACAGAATCAAAATTCTGTCATTATTTACTCTCCCTCATGTCAGACCAAACCCATGTGCTGTTATTGTATCCATGAAACTCAAAATGAAGCATTTTACGCTCGTCCATTCAACTACAGTTTAGTGACTACGACTGTTAAGCTCAAAAAGCACCATAAAAGTATCATAAAAAGTAATCAATATGGATGGTGAGCTTTATTTATGTCTTCTCTATCCATATAGTAACTTTGTGTGAGAAACACACTGAAATCTCAGGAAACCAACAAAGCCACAGCTTTCATTTTAAATGTATGTTTGAATCTAGACACACTATACCAGGCTTGACATCAATGGATGGTATTTAAAAATCAACTGGTTGAAAATTTTGTACTGGTTTTTCATTTAAATCGGTATAGAGTGCTGAAGGAATGCTGCAGAAATCCTAAAGCCTGGAAACAACCAGTTTCATCATGCCAAAGTCAATGGCTTTTATGAATGGCTTTTTGGTTAAATGCTTGAAATAAGGTCTGTGGTTAACACAAGCTCAAGATATTTTCACATTTTATTCTATAACATAAAATACATCATAAATAACTAGATGTACAGCGCTGTTGCACTTCGGGCATCCTGATTTCGAGCCCCGGCTCATGGACCTTTCCCGAACCCATTCCCCTCTCTCTCTCGCTCTCTCTCTCTCTCTCTCTCTCTCTCTCACTTTGCTTCCTGTCAAGCTACTTTCCTATCATAATAAATGCAAAAACACAAAAATGCGAGAGAGAAAAAAACACTTGGGGCTCTATTAAATGTTTTATTTTTTCCCAAATTTTGTTTTATTTTTATCAAAATTCAAATTTTTTTTCTGTTTTAATTTTTTCTGGATTCTGTTCTTTTCCATTGTAATTTTTCTGGATTCCTTTTTTTTTTGTTTGTTTTTTTAACTTTTCCATTTTTCTGGATTCCGTTTTTTCCTTTTTTAAATTGTAGTAATCAAAAAAGCATGTCTAAATAACTTATATCATGAAATTTATACAATTTAACAGCAATTTATTAAAAAACAATAAAAACGACATTTTTAGAGCCCTATGAAATCTGTTTTATTTTTCACCAAATTCAGCTTTATTCTTCTCAAATTTCATGTTTACCGTTTAAAGGGTTCTGGATTCTAACGGTTTAATTGAATTTTAAGAATCAAAAAGCATGTCTAATCAACTGATTTTAAAAATAATAGGGTGCAATGGTTTATTATTAAAAATGATGGTAATTAAATGAAGACAAAACTTTAACAATAAAATTTTTTTTTTCAAAATGTAACCAAATGAAAATGTAATAATTCCTTCTTTTTTTAATAATCATACAAAGTGCAGTTAAAATGAGAGCATGGAAGAAAAACTGTTATTCCTTAAAATTCATGGAATCACAGAAATCATAGGGCCCTAAATACCCAATTTGTGTTTTTTTTATAAGCTTTTACTTGTCCTGAAAAAGCAGCTGCTAACAGGTGAATAAATGGGACTACTAAATGGGACTCTTGCAAACTATTCTGACTCGATCTTTCAGGGAAAATGTTTTTTTTTTCTTTCTTAAAGGGGTCATATGATGTTGCTAAAAAGAACATTATTTTGTGTATTTGGTATAATAAAATTTGTTTATGCGGTTTAACCCTTTGGGGTTGACAAACGCGGATACGCGTTTTGTGGCATCTTCTCCTGATAACACCGAAAAGAACTTAAATTACACTTTCAGTTTTGATCAGTTTTGAGCAATACATCAATCGAATCTGTAAATGGTCTACTTTTATTTGTATACACACATAATAACAACAAAACTTTGTGCATTTATAAAATAAAGAAAACAAACAGGCTGCGCTGTCTGCCGCCTTGGTCTGCGTGATCTTTATTTAGAAACGTGTCATTAAAATGAACTGTAACTCAGCAAATACTCAACAAAGAGACATGAGAGATATATCTAGGGCTGCACGATAAATCGCATGCGATATTTAATGCGCATCTTGTCAGAAAGCCGGTTCTGTAATCAGCGGTAAATCTCCATCACCTGTGTGCTTTCACATTGAGCAGCATTAACTACACAGAGCCGTTGTTCACTGACGAGTTGCGCAAAACCACGTCCATATTCGCGCGATTTTTTGCGCTGCTCGTCAGTTAACAACGGCTCTGTGTAGTTAATGCTGCTCAATGTGAAAGCACACAGGTGATGGAGATTTACCGCTGATTACAGAACCAGCTTTCTGACAAGATGCGCGTTAAATATCGCATGCGATTAAACAGGCAGGCACAGCACTCATGTTCGTGTTTGTGTGTGCTGTCTGCGTCACTCAGAGCACGTGCCTATATCGTGCAGTATATCGAACATTTTTTATATCGTTATCGAAGAAGGTGTACCGTCGATAAATGCCGATACCGTTTTATCGCCCAGGCCTAGTTGAACTGTTCTGGAACAGTGTTGTAAATACAACTTAACCACTGATTTCTAGTCGAGTCCTCTTTTGGAAGGCCAAACAAAGTAGTTTCGCTTTCACAACAAAACACAGCGTCACACACGGTGGGCTGGAGTGAGGAAAATATATAAGAAAAGCATCTAAGGGACATGGTTGGACACCTTAAATGGACACATATATTGAATATTCATTATGATTGGATGAGATACAAGCATCCTGATTTGATTTGGGTATAAATATTGAGTCAAAGTATTCTCCTCTTTGTCGCAATCTAAAGCCAACCCTGAATGGCTGTATGAATATAGACCTTTTCTTGCAAGAAAATAGAAAATAGCATACAAAAAAAAAAAGAATAATAAAATAAACATTTAAAAAGAATAAAATAATCCAAAATATAAAAATAATGTGAATGTTAAATGAATTTAATAAAAACAAGAACTAAAATAGAATTCATTATAAAAACATGTGCAAGTCGTCATTAATAACAACAAACTAAAATAAAAAATAAAAAATGATAAGTGTATAAATAAAATTGTCATTAATAAATGAATTAAAATCAATTAAAAGTGAAGCTTTTTTTCATTTTTAAATGAATTCATTAATGTTTATTTAAATGCCATACATATACAATTTAATTTTGGATAAAATCACATGGTAAATTAATAAATGCAAATATTCATAATTCATTTTAATTTTAGTTAATCATAAAAATACAAATATAATAATATAAATGAAATAAAATTCTAAACAATTTTCATTTTAAATATTTAAGGACAACAAGAATCGAAGATTTTAGATGAGAATGTGCAAGATGAAGTGATTACGGAGTTCACATGAGCCATCTCAAATCTTGCCTGTACCAAAAACAATGATAGTAAGAAGCAACTGTCCTATCAAAACCATCTTGAACATTCCTCAAAACATGCGCAGGGTACAGTACCGCGTCATCAGCATCATAGCGGCCATCAAAATAAACAGAGGAAAGAAACCTCATGTTCCTGCCACAGATCTTGTTAGATTCACTGCTAGCGAACAGCGTCACTGGAATCAGGAAGCGGTCTGGCTTGCAACATCTTTCAATCATCTCCCTCATAACATATTTATCTGAAGAAAACTAAGGAACTGAGCAATTACATTCCACAGCGAGGATGCTTGATAAGTTGATAAGCGTGTGCAACACCCAAAAGGTTTGTGGGTTAAATGAGCAATGAAATTCAACACAAGAATAAGTAGGCCATCATTAAGTGGCATTTTATGTTTATTCCTTTATTTAAACAATGTGTAATTACAATAACCAGACAATTTGACTTATTCAAGCACTCCTGCAAGTCCCGGAATCCTTAAATATATAACCAGCACACCACTATAAACTAGGATTTTTACCATTATTAGGATTGCTTTCCACATCGTGACGTAGCCATGTGGGGGCGTGTTTAAACGAGGCGTTTTAGGTAGGCGTGGTTGACTTAACTTTTATAAAGAATATCTCTTTGGATTTGAGACTTTAGTCTTTGCAACTTTACAGATCTTCTTTATGCACCAAGAGCTTGTATCACTTCAAAGAGAAAGGAAAAATTGAAATCGCATCATATGACCTCTTTAAATAAAAATTGAAAGAGTTGTTGGAAGCTTAATGTTGGTGACTTTAAAATCATGCGACTGTAGTTCCTTTTTAGCCTAACTAGTTTATTACTTCTGCTGACTGCATTTAGGCTTCAAAATTCATAACACTTGCATTTATTTGTGAAGATTATCTTGATGAACAAAACATGTAAGAATCATAAACTTTTGTCGCTCATGAAGCTTATTTTCTGCAACAATCCAAAAGCCAATGGAAAAATCCAATTGTTTTTTTTGTGGAGGATCTAAGGTGATGCAAACTTCCAGGTTAGCCAACGAAAACCTCTCATCCCTGCAGTGCTCTATATCACCCACCCTGAGTCAGCGGCATTTGCCTCACCTTGACATGCTCCTGCAGCTGCGCTTCATGCTGGCGCGAGAGCTGCTCGTGCTGACGCTGAAACTCTGCGATCAGGATCTGCCTCTGTATCTGCTGTTTCTGCTTGAGGGCCAGAAGCTCCTGCTGCAGCTGCTGCTCGCGCTGAGCCGAGTCCGTCGGCGCCAGGGCGAACTGGTGATCCACACGCAGGTCCATGGGGATGGCAGAAGGCGGCACTTGCAGTGGCAGCGTCGCACTCACATCAACTGCGGAAAGAGAAAGACTCAAATGAGAAAAACAACAAACTGTACAGTACTCAGTACATAAAGCTTTTAGAACTGTTTTCAACTTTTAGGAAAAGATTTTCCAAGAAAACATTTAAATATCATTTAGACAAAACTTTTATGCTGCAAAAACAAGTCACAACAGAGGTCTTTTACATATAAAATTCATTATAAAAACATGTGCAAGTCGTCATTAATAACAACAAACTAAAATAAAAAATAAAAAATGATAAGTGTATAAATAAAATTGTCATTAATAAATGAATTAAAATCAATTAAAAGTGAAGCTTTTTTTCATTTTTAAATTAATTCATTAATGTTTATTTAAATGCCATACATATACAATTTAATTTTGGATAAAATCACATGGTAAATTAATAAATGCAAATATTCATAATTCATTTTAATTTTAGTTAATCATAAAAATACAAATATAATAATATAAATGAAATAAAATTCTAAACAATTTTCATTTTAAATATTTAAGGACAACAAGAATCGAAGATTTTAGATGAGAATGTGCAAGATGAAGTGATTACGGAGTTCACATGAGCCATCTCAAATCTTGCCTGTACCAAAAACAATGATAGTAAGAAGCAACTGTCCTATCAAAACCATCTTGAACATTCCTCAAAACATGCGCAGGGTACAGTACCGCGTCATCAGCATCATAGCGGCCATCAAAATAAACAGAGGAAAGAAACCTCATGTTCCTGCCACAGATCTTGTTAGATTCACTGCTAGCGAACAGCGTCACTGGAATCAGGAAGCGGTCTGGCTTGCAACATCTTTCAATCATCTCCCTCATAACATATTTATCTGAAGAAAACTAAGGAACTGAGCAATTACATTCCACAGCGAGGATGCTTGATAAGTTGATAAGCGTGTGCAACACCCAAAAGGTTTGTGGGTTAAATGAGCAATGAAATTCAACACAAGAATAAGTAGGCCATCATTAAGTGGCATTTTATGTTTATTCCTTTATTTAAACAATGTGTAATTACAATAACCAGACAATTTGACTTATTCAAGCACTCCTGCAAGTCCCGGAATCCTTAAATATATAACCAGCACACCACTATAAACTAGGATTTTTACCATTATTAGGATTGCTTTACATTATTTATATAATTTCTGTAGAATACTGCCCCTCTTTTCCTGGCTAAAACCAGGCCAAGGTGAACAAAGCAGACATGTGGTCTGCAATAAATAGCCTCCGACAGCATATTACGTCCAGACTGCTGGCGTGGGACCTCTTCATTTGTGCTTTACTGAATAGGAGAGGTTTTAGGGGGAACACTGAACACATTCATGCTTGAAGTGTCAACTTCACTCTTGGGACGTCACGATGCCCCGAATGCCACAAGTTCAAGGATGCTCCTCTGACCCCACAGTAGACAAAACAAAAGTCCTCAGCGGAAGCCCTGAGGCCACACAAAGGCCAGCGTCAAAGGCTATTTACTATAATGGAATAAAAACTGCCCTTTATTCCAGACTAAATTGCTTTATAAAATCATATTTATGACGCAAATCCTTGGTCACAAAGGGGCCATTGATGCCCGGCCCCCTGAAACTGACCACTACGCTCTTTGGCAGCTCATGCTCAGCAGGACAGGAAGCCGTCAACTAGTGAACTACTTCCTCCACATTTACTTTGCATCAATAAGCGGTGATAAGAGTGTAGTTTATCCATGTATTTGCTGTCAAGAGACAGAGAAAACATATTTGAAATTCACCACCCAGTCCAAACAAAGCCCAATGGCCAAAAAAAACACAAACAACTACTAGCAGTAATTAAAATGCCAAAGAAAACAGTGCACCAGCAAACAGAAACTCTAATTGAATTAATAAACACTGTTTTAACGTCTTTCATTCACAAGGACTAATTTTGGCTTGCTGAAAATGTAATAGTTTAGAAGAGAGTTCAGAAGGGAACAACTACCAGCCCAAACCCAAATGGTGCACATAATGTGGCTTCTTATTAATTTTTTTGAGTGAGAATTTGAATTGCATTGGCCACAACCCACAGGAAGTTGAATTGAAATGACAGGAAGAGGAATTTAATGAATTGTAATCCAAAGAAATTCAACATAAATAATGCATTTCGGGAAATCTATCCATCTATCCATTTGTCTGTCTATCCATCAATCTTTCTAACTATCCATTCGTCCATCAATTCATCCATCCGTCCATATATTCATTTGCCTTTCTTTCCATCCACCTACCTATCTACCGATCAGTCTGTCTATTTGTCTTTCTATCCATCCATCAATCTATCCATCCATTGATTTACCTATAGTATCTATCCATCTATTGATTTGTCTTTTCATGCATCCATCCACAGTATCTATCCTTCAGTGTCAATCTATCCATTTGTCTTTCCATCCATCCAATCTATCCATGAGTCTGTCTATCCATTTGTCTGTCTTTCCATCAATCTTTCTAACTATCAATTCGTCCATTCATCCATCCGTCCATCAGTCCATATATCCATTTGCCTTTCTTTCCATCCATAGTATCTATCCATCAGTCTGTCTATTTGTCTTTCTATCCATCCATCAATCTGACCATCTGTTCATCCATCCATTTACCTATAGTATCTATCCATCTATTGATTTGTCTTTCCATGCATCCATCCACAGTATCTATCCTTCAGTGTCAATCTATCCATTTGTCTTTCCATCCATCCAATCTATCCATGAGTCTGTCTATCCATTTGCCTTTCCATCATTCATCCATCCAGCAATCAGTCCATCCATCCATGTACAGTATATATCAATCCCTCTGTCTATCCATTTGTCTTTCCATCCATCCATAGTATCTACCATCAATGTCTACCCATTTGTCTTTCCATCCACCTACAGTATCTATCCATCCATCCATTTATCCATCAGTCCATGAATCCATCCATTCATCTACAGTATATCCATCCATCTGTCTATCCATTTGTCTTTCCACCCACCCATCCGGCCTATAAATATTCAAGCAAATTTTCAAAGTTTGTCTCCACAAACATTGCTGTTTAGTTATAGTAATTACAGTTATTTTAATATCTTTGAATTTCAGTTCATTTTAATTCTACGTCTTTACATTCAAATTCAATTCACATTCAGGAATTTAAAAAGCATTCTCAATTCAATTCTCACTGGTGCACAACTGAACTGAGAACTGTAAAATCCACTCCGTCAGCAGAGAGCGTGAAACGGTAAGATGAGCCTTCCCTGTGAGTAAAGCCCAGATACAGCGCTGCAGTTTGTTTACTAGTCTAATTATTCTTAGAGGGAGGATTAGGTAACATTTACATTGGAAGTTTGCTGACAGGCCAAAGGTAATCCCGGTCTTTGCTGTGCTCTCTGAGGATAGATGCTTGATGCACAGTTAGGACATTAATAACAGCCAGGGCACTACATGTTACAGTTAGGAGACACACTGGGGACGGAAGGGATATGCATTTCTACCCAATTAGAATGATGCAATATAAGCGTAAAGAGAAATAATCACCCCTGCAGCACTAATTCTGCAAAAGGGGATTTGCTGACACGCACAGCGCTGGCCGAACATGCACGTGGATACACACCCACACACTCTACAGCATGATCTGATGGAGATTGATTCACCAAGGCCATGAATGCGGCAGCCAACCATTACACTATGTACCTTGTGAGGAGTGATACATCCTGGGACAGTAATTTTTATATTAAATACAAACAAATATTTTGTCTATATTTACATATATTTCTATTTCTATCTAAATATAGAAAAATATTTTAATATGTATTATAATTTTATAATTTTAATTTTATTTTTTCTATATAAAATGAAAATAAAATGTATCAAATTTATAAAAAAAAAAAAAATCAAAAATAAATTGAAATACAAAAAAAATAATAAATTATTTAAACAAAAAATTTGCATTTGAATTTTGCAAGTTAAAAGTCCTTAAAATGAAAAACCCCTGCATCATATTCAACTCTGTTAGATTTGAGACAGAAGACCGATCCTGTGAGATCACTCCAAAGTACGACCAAAACTTTTCAATACCAACAACTAAAAACATTGTTTTCCATGCTCCCCCCAAACAGCACACAGGGGCCTTTCCTGAGAAGCACAGAGCAGCTCCAGGCCCATCGCCTCCCTCTGCAGAACACTGTCCCTGACTGACCCTCTGACCCTCTACTGAGACATGGAGAATAATGAAGTGTTGGGGAAACATCAAAGCTGCGTACTGATTACGTCAGAGGAGCCCCGGTTTTCCGCAGGCCACGCTCAGACGAATAGAGGAGTGTTTGTTCTGTCCCATGGAGAGACAGGTCACACTGACGATCACAGACCAGTGTCCAGAACACGATGTAAAATGTGGAGTGACTTACTTATGAATGAGGAGAGAAAAAGAGCTGGCCATTACACAACAGGACATGCACATATATAAATGAACAGTGGATATGCCACATAAGATGCTTCCAAATCCTTGTAACCCTTAAATGCATGCATTATTACATATTTGGGTCTTTAGCGACCCGGACCTATATATCTAACACGGACGGATCTCTTAACCGCTGCAATAGCGCAAAACTCTCCTGATATTTTACTCAAAAGAATAAAATAAAGCATATTTGTTTAATTTAAGCAGATGATTTTTCCATCACCGTTATAATCAGAGCGCATTTTCCCTGTACATTTAAAATCCGGCTCATATTCGCAATCTCAACCATATTCTCAAAACTATCGCTTTCAACGTCTTCAGAATCAATATTTTGATCGCTGGCAGCTTATTCACCACATCCACAAGCAATTGACAGTGACACTTATATTACAGTAATTGCTCTGCAGTAAAGCCATTCATTTTTGTTTAGAACGAATAGATTGAGGAATACTAAGAAGGTTTATGTCTAACTTTATAAAATGAATGAGGGGGAGGGTATAATGACGTCCGGGATCGCTAAAGACACGAGGTATGCGTTTAAGAGTTAATAAATTCAAGA